CTAGTACACTCAAACGCACTTCCAAATGACTCAAAGGATGAACACAGAAAGAAAAACAAGGAGAAAATAATGGAAAATTGTTCTAGTCAACAAGGGGTTAAATGATTCACATGATGTTATGAAGGAGCAACCAATCCAGCGGTACTGGGGAATCTCCTTTGCCTACAGGCTAGTACCAAGTCTTCTCAGGAAATATGAATAAATCAAATAACTATACAGAGATGAAAAAATTTCCTGATGATTCACAGAAAGGAAGACACAAAGCTATACTCCATAATTCAAAAACAACCATTTTAAACAAAAAAAACCCTCAAATCAGCCACTGCACTATAGACATGCTTATACCAGCGGAATTCAAACAACTATTTGCTTTTAAGTGAGGTGAAAACTGTTTAATGCTTCACTAAGTAAAAATCAATTTTATTCTACCCCCAAATGTAAAATCCATTTTGCTAAGATAACTTGATTTTCATGCTAGCAGGAAATGTTATAATTTTGATTTATAAGACCTCTGTATTTTCTGAAAATTCAGTCATGGTGGACACGGTCTGATCTTCACAGATTGCACTTTGTCTTTATTACATTGATCAATATTTCATCTCATAAAGCTAAGCATGCTAAAATCTTGCTCTAATTTATTGTACTTATTTTTAACAAAAACACCTGCTTTCCGCTTGCCCCCCTAAAGAATGCTAGTAAGGAGAAGACTTGTATTAAGGAAGTGGCTTGTTGCACATTTATGCAAACAACGGCAGATTCAGGTACCGAAGCTCTCAAGAACACGAGTTCTGATATAACCCACTGAAACGAACCCATCAACTCCTATTGTGTGACATATAATTGTAGCATAATTGTTATGACTTTTTGGCGCACACAGTGATCCAGATGAGGTTGATAAATCTAGTTCTTCAGTAACTGCTATTTCCTATTGTAACTCATACTACTAATCCTTGTCCTAACTTAATGCCCCCTCCCTTCCACCTGCAATGGATATTGGACATATTTTGAATATTCTTTTCTCTCATTTGTAGTGCACACAGAATGATTTGTCTAAAAGACTGTACCCCCAACTGTAAAGGACCATGTTTTTCCTAGAATTTCTAAAAAGTAAAAAAAAAAAGTATTTTCAAACAGTTTGAGTAGCCATACTTCTTAATGTCACTCCATTCATCATAAATTGGAAATTCTGTAATTCATAGTATTACTGAGAAGTGTTATAAAAGAGACTAAAGTGTACCATACTAGCCAGTCATAAATATCGCCATTTGGCAGCTTCACATCGAGAGTTAAACAAGTCACAAAGGAAGGAATCATTCTGAGAGCAAAAAGATGATGCATGGTGAGAGCAACTGCCCAATCAGGCAGTGGCTTACTGTATGCATTTGAAATAGGCTTAAAAGGAACAGTTATGACAGTAGCACTGGATATCATTGCCTACCACAAAAATGATAATAATTAACCTTTGTCAACTGTATCAGTTTCATGCCTGCAGGAATAGGAGACAAAACTACATTTCTTACCAGAAACCCTATTTCAGATTCTTAATATACAAAAAAGTTTCCAAGAAATGCATGAGTACTGTTATAAGTTCCTAACTATAATGTTATTCACACTAAAAATAGTTACCTTTTAATAGTCTCAACCATCTTAGCTGTTTTGTTGCAGAAAAAAGAACACAATTAGCACATCTACTTATAATCAGTTGCATGTGAAGTGCTGTAAAAATGTGGTATCTAAATATTGCCTCTATCTAATATACAGTAAAACTGAGCAATGTAACTAAAACAGTGTGCTTTCTAATCCACGCCTTGTATCGTGTGTGTTTGATGCAAACGGAATGAAAGGTAAATGATGCACAGATTGAAAACGTTGCTGCAATCTGCCCAGAGTCAATGTCAGAAGCAGGATTAGAACTAAAGAGCTTCCTGGCTCTCAGTTCTGGATTTACTCAAGCAAAACATAAATAATAGAAAATAACAAATATCGAACACTGTCAATTTTTATGCACGATAAAATATGACGTAAAGAGAAAGTAAATAGTGTTTTCAGAAACTACAGATACTTCATATACCATTACCAAATGCCTAGAATGTCTTGACTACCTACTCAGCTACAGCAATATACTCCTGCACGATTTGTACCCACAGAAGACTACTTTGTAACTTAGCAGTGTAGAAAAAAAGTCCAGTCTTAGCTTATTCCAATGCTTTACTGGTCAGAGTAATGTAGGAATAGACTTTATATATAAACTGTGGGGACTGAATTTCTTCAGCATAAAAAGCAAGTCGTTTATATTTGCTGCTTGTGAAATTTTCTAGTGAGATCTTTACTGTTTCAGAGCAGATGTAAAAAAAAAAAAAGCCACACACTTCTCAATCTGTGCGAGGGCTAAAAGTATTCAAGGCATCAGCTAGAAAGCATTGACTAAAGCAACACAGATGCCACAGTTTCTATAAGACTTAGAAATTTGTCACTACCCTTACCAATCTGCATTCCCACCCTTAGAGAAAAGGTCACTGAACTTGCAGATACAAAGAAACACTCCAGGATAAAAAGAATGGAAGTAAATAGCCTTTTTCAATACTATGAACATCATCGTCTGCATAATATCCATGCCCCTCAGACCTTGAGATGCTCCGCCAAGCATCTAGTTCCCACCCAGAACACGCTCACAAGACGGGCAGGTGCTGAAACGTGCCCTTGCAGTGCTCAATCCCCGGCAGGCCTAGTCACACCTAACCACACAGACGCGTTGTCAAAGACAGCTTTTCCTTTTTGTCTACTGTTTGATAACACAGGAGCAACAGCATTTGCATAGTGAGAGAAATCAAGCAAAAGAGAATATAAATCTTTCTCCGAGATGAAGACTCTAACCATGAGGCTGTTGCCTCCTCAGACTGGTCAGACTGTTTTTTCACCCACACACATAGATAAAGGATTTTGTTTACATCCTCACAGAGAACACAGCTCAAAGACGTTTGAGAGAAGTTCTAGAAAATACAATTCAGTTCTCAAAAGCACCCTTTCTGCTATTATTCCAGTTTACTACTTTGCTTACACTTTCAGTGTTGCGAATATCCAAAAGGGACTCCTGATTAAACCAGTTACCAAGTGATATTCAGCTCTGGAAGACCCTAAACATCCCACACAATTACACTCTAACAGAGTGAAGTTTCCGAATAATGTTTCAACTTTTTAAAATTCATTTGTAGGAGTTTACCATACAACTTTACATAAAGATTTGAAAATATATTTTGATTGACGTTGTATTTATCACCATACACATCAAAGAGAAGAATCAAACCTTTGCTGAATTTGTGTCTGTCTCTGGAGGATGCCCTGCCACTAAATTTCCATCTTTTGTACCTTCTTCTTGGGATTACTGCAATGCACTAGTCACAGCATTTCCTGTTTTCTTTCTTGAAAAACTTTTATATACATATACACATTACATATTTCTGCAACTGGTTTCCTAAGCTTGTTTTTAAACATTATGCTGCAGACAGCTGCAAGCTCGTCTTCTGGAGCTGACTGTCTGCTGAAAGCTTTGGTAGGACAATTACATTGGGGCTGAGTTCAAGCTAATGGCTCACTAGTCATCAGGTAGTATACCCTTTCTCTCAGTAAGGGGTGTAACACTGGCCTCGGCTTCCACTTAGCTTAGAGTTCAGGCAGAGCAGAGCTCTGTTTTCATCAGGATCACAACGAGCTTGCATTTACCCAGAACAGACCATACCAAACACACCCTTGCACCAGGAAAGCTAATGCAATACATTTACAGAGAAGGCTTCACCATCACAGACCCTATAATTTAAGGCAATTGTTCACCTTTTCTAACCCAGCCTTAGGATGTAGGGCAGAAATGAATCACCTGCTCATCTACCTCTGCTACTTGTTGCAGCATCCCTCTGCTCTAACAGATCTGGGCAGAGAGCTCTTTGTCTTCTGTGATAAAAGCTTCTCATTCTTAAGGTTCACTTGAACTTCCTCATTTTTTGGATCTTGGATTTGGTTTCTCAGAAAAACAAACTACTAGATCAACCTTTAGGCAACCAGTATTTTATTGCTCAGCATGTGGCAAAAGAGTAATAGGATTCTTTGCGTAAGCTGTTAGACTGTTCTCCATTAGCCAATATATTGGGAAAGGAAGACTTCACGGCCCATTCATTTCTGCCCCCTTTTAGGTGCCAATAATTAATAGAACTGGATCTGTTTACAGCATTGATCCTTCAAGTACAGTTCCTCAGAGCACAGCGATTAAAGCAGACAGAAAAGTTCTACTGTGAACTTATTGCGAAATAAACACATGGCAATTCTAGAAATCCAGAAAGTCTGAAGAACAATAATTGTCTGTCACTGTTCACAATTTGCACACACATTACAGTTATTGACAAATATCTTTATAGTAAGATTTCAAAGCACTGTCACTAATGCATGTATATTAAAGTTTGTGACAATTTATAAGACAGCTAAACTTCTAAGAAGTTTTTCAGTGGAATTTTGTTCAGATGCTAGAATAGATGTCCATTTACAGATCCAGAGATTTCCTGCACTGCTGCCACAACCAAATCTCATGCATCACTTACTGCCTTTCACAATTCATCTCTAACTCATGAAAGCATTAGTAATGATTTTTTTGTGTTTATAAAAAAAAATAAAGTTAGTAAGCTATTGAATAGAAACATCATTTATAATAATTCTGTAAAATAGTTCACTAAAAATTCTCACACATAAATTACTTGCATTTAAATCAGCATGGTTGTCTTCTCTTAAACACTGTAATGTAAAGTACACATCTGACTAAGCTTTATGCAGTAAATGAAGTGAAGACTGTACCACTGAATATATCAAAAGCCAAGAACCACCTGTGGTAAAGTACCGGATCCTCCATTGGTACAAATTAGTGAACATAGTTTAAAGATTAGGGAACTGGAGAAGATATTGGTTTGATGGAATAGAATTAGCATGGATTCTGTCAGAAGGGAGAAAAGGCAATTTACCTGAAGAAGGTGACAAAGAACTGCACGAGATCCATGATTGTATTGTGCTGTGAGAAGGCAATCTGCAAATAAAATAAAAGTAAATTATAACATTTTCAGAATCAACAATTGCTTTTAGGCTGGGGCTTAACGGCTCTATGGACGAGCTATTTCAAGTGTATTTCAGTGCAGTGTGCACACACCTGCATTTATCATAAAGTGAGATGAGTAAGTAACTTCTGTGTCTTTGTGTTAAAATATAAACAATGGAATATATTCCTTCTATTGTAGTAAAGTTAACAGAAATATCTACGTAAAATTATTGTTCGATATAAATAATATCAAGAACAAAATATTTATAAACCATATCGATATAAACTTTTTAAGAAATCTCAATATATTTTAGCTATCATCATTTTCCATTTTAGTTAGAATATTGAGACAAGATTTTTAAAATGACAAACAAAAGCATTTCGTGCTTAAAATTAATACATTTAAAATATTTTAATTCCATCCTTTTAAAGTGCATGCATGCATTAATTTAAAAGTTAGATAAATCTGGTGCATAACACAAGAAACTATTTCCAAGCAAAAGGAATATTTTATCTTATTATAAAGATAAAATAAAAAAAAAATTTTTGATTACATTTTTAAAACCTCATAAAAACATGCATTAGTTCCACTTTTTACTATAATTTTTTGCAAAGATGTAATAATTATCTCTAGGACAGCATACATACACAGACACACACTCACATTTGCATGGAATAGAGCCTGCAGTTACTTTTATACTGATCTTAAGGACTGTACTTAATATTTAGGTTATTTCTATAGATATTCCTAAGTTCCTGTCTTGTTCAATGTTCATAATGTATAATTATCAAAATGAAGATATACAGAATTTTCTACTTTGAATTGCATGAAGTGTTTATCTAAATATATTCCTAGCCTATCCAAATAATTGTTGTTTATTTTATAGATTTTGTGCATTTGATATCTGATCGTGACTAGTCACTACACCCAATTACTCTGATTCCCTTTCACTGTTGATTTGTGAACTTTCAAAACGGTAACTCATGAGACTCAGGAATTCTCTTTTAGGGGAAAACTATAATGTAAACTTTAGTTTTATAAAGTTGCTACTGTGCCTTGTGCCAGCTAAACACAGCCAAACCATAGGTCAGAACATTGCTTAGTTTAAGCAAGGAACAGCATGAAAGTTGCACCATACCAGGAATAAGCATACAGGGCACCATCGTGCAAACACATCTCTAAAACGTAGTTTCTGTTTTCTCTTCTCCATGTTTCTATTGCAAGTGACGTAAATAACTCTAGAACTCAGAGCACAGGCAGGAGATATTTCAAACTTCCCAGGCCATAACACCAAGAAAAATACTTGATAAATGAATCTGAGTGTAATTTAGGGTAGTAAACTCCTTGAGATAAACTTTCCTCCCGTTACCCATAAAATCTCATTAAAGTGCTATCATCTATCTCCTCTCTAGAGAGAGGAGGGCCATGTACCTAACGTAAGTAGATTGCTATGTTTGGATTAGGAAAAAAATACATTCCTGCCTACAGAAAGAAAAGAAACTGAAGCCCATGCAGGATGAGGCAGGAGAGAGAAAGAGCTCCCTCTGAGTCACTATTCAAGTTTAATTGACACATGTTTTCACATTCACTCAATGTAAGTAGAAGTATGAAATTCTCAAAAATTTAATTTACTGTCATGATGAATGCTGTACCAAAATTAGAGAGAGCAGAGAGTAAAAATAAGAAAAAATCAGGGAGAAATTACAGAGTGGGCTAAATTGGCAAAATATCTGCTAATACCAAAAGAAACCTTTATAAAGAAAAGGATAAAACCTGAATAAAGATCTGAAGAGTTAGTTGGTCCAATATGAAGTGCACCCCAAACAGAAACAGTTCTTTAGGAGTAGCTGAAGTGAAAAGCAATAAGTTTCCTATGATCAAACTGTACTTTAAATGCAGAGAGGATTCCTTTCAAATAATATTTAGCATTCAAAATAACTGCTGCCTTTTCCAGAATATTTGTTACAAATATCACATTTCAGAAGATGAACTAATACAAAGAGACAAAACATAAGGCATTTTCAAAAGAGTTCATCTTTGATGACACTACTAAGCTGCTTTTGTTGAAGAAGCATTTATATTTTGCATTACTACAATTATTTTCATTTACTGTGTCAGCATCCATCGAAAGCATCCTTCAGTCCAGAAACAATTACTGTCAAGGAAAAATCCTGCAATCAAAAATTGCAATCTGAATATAAATAATAAGCCTATAAGGAAAGTTTTATATCAGATCTTTCTAAGAAAGCTTAGTGCCTTTATTTCTCTTTTTACCCATGCAGTAAATATGAAGTAAGCAGATTTACAACAATTTAATGATTTTATGTGGCTATTAATGATTAAATCTACAATTTGCACATCTCTAAGCTCAAGATGGGATAGATGCTTTTTACAGATACAGTTACAAAAGGAACGCAACCTCATGATTTTATGTCTTGCACCTGTAAAACTTCTATCATTCAAGCAAATTAGGAATTGCTATGTTCTTTTGCTGCAGTTCATGTCTGCACATCAATATAAAACTGCTGTAAGAATTATTTTGTTTGGTTGTACAAGATATTCTTGGATAATACTCATACTGTGTAGCAATGTCATCATAAAGGCCAGGAAAATATAGTTCCATTTCAAAAGTAGTTTTAAACTGTTATCAGACATTATCTTCTTATGATTCTTAGTCCATGTTTAGCAAATGAACTACAGTATTTTCGGAACAAACAGTACCATGGGACGTCTTCCACTAATTTCAAAACAGAATATTAACAACAAAATTGTACATATTTTAATTATGAGTTGGTCATGCAGGTGCAAGTAAATGTCACAAACCTAAACCTCACCCACAGAGCGATAATTCTAGATTTTCATCTAGATATGAGTACTATTGTCTTTTTTTTTGTGATGGCATAGAGACAAGACGAAGAAAATTCGTTCTGCCCAGGCTTTAACGTTTGACTTAAAATAAAGATATTAGAGATGAACAGCTTTTTTGTTCATTTGTAGTTTGCAATACATCATGCCTAAGTAGCCCTCAGTTTCAAAAAAAGTCTAATAAGCCTGTGGGTGCCACGAGTATTAACTTTATCTTCTCTTATAAATGAGGATCAAGATAAAGCCACATAGTACAAACTGTTCTCTTAAATTTATATCATGTGTAAAGACAAGAAACTTCAATTCTACATCATATCTCCATCATTTCCTGTAGAATAGAATTACCAAACGGCATGCAGTAAATATTAATCTATGCCAAACGACAGTCTTTATGAGCGAATAGAATTTCAAGGATAAAATTAGCTCCCTAGAAAAAATGGGGAACAATTACATCTCTGCTTTAAACAGCCTCGCATCAAAAAATGGAAGTACATTTACTTATAGCACTCTAATATATTACTGGCAATATGATTTCAGGTGTAGATGCTAATACTTGCATTCATCAGTATTAGGCTTTTAAAAGAGAAGTTAGAAGGAATAGACATAGATATGGTAGATATAGATATTGCTATAGATACAGATATATTTAGCTAACTATCCTTCGTGATCTATTGCACTCTTTGAAGGAAGGTTATAGATAACTATCTGTCATAAATGTTATTGAACAGTGTCCTCACCCATGGAAAAAACAATAGAAAAACTCTCATCAACTACAACAGTTCATGTTCATTTCCTTGTTTCACCAGGGCTAAAAGTGGGAGCTCATGGCTCAGTCACTGGTGATGACTTCATGATCCAACACTGTTATAGACCAACTGTTGTTTTGCAACATGACTTAAGAGGTTTTGCTGAAATGCAAATGCTTATTTTTCTTATATCCTTTGCTACTGACTGCAAAGAAAAATAGAAAAAAAATTAAGCCTATGTTTTAAGATGAATTAGAATTTACCATTTTCACAATAGAGGTCCAAAGCTGTACCCTAAACATCACGAAACCATATCCAGAGAGCTTCAAGATATGCACAAAATCTTTAACATGATTTCGTAGCACTGGCTGAATTTTGTTTTCCTTAGAAAAGGAAATAATAATTCCCCTTGAATTTGGCAAGATTGCTCAGAGTTTAATCAAATACGGAAATTAGATCAGATAAAAGACTTTTCTTGTGTGGAGTAGAGGGGATGATAACTGAGGGAAGGAAAAGAGTTGATAAGGTAGGTAAGGTGCAAGGGAAAAAGAGAGATGGATAGTTTACAACCTGTGAAACATGAAGAGATAAGTGTGTGCAAGGAAATTATAAAATGCCATAAAATTGATACTTCTATTAAAGTCATAGCTTGTTATATGCAGTAGAGTTATGAATTTCATGTCAAGGTTCATCTTGCAAAGGAGTTTTGTTGGTTTCTTTTGAGGACAGGGACTGAGAGGTAAGAACTTAACTGACTGTTTATGAAAAATGCGCTGTGTGCAATTGCTTTCAACCTGGATTTAGCTTTGAAGTTTGATTCTTCTATAGCAGACGTGAAGAAGGGCTTGTGTGTCTGAAAACTTGCCTAACTTTTCTAGTTATCCAGCTAGCTTAATAAAAGATACAAACCTCTACCTACTACTCTCATCTTGACATTTTAACTTTAAGCATATTATTATCAGATATGCTTCTCTAGCGATGGATTTTTCTATCCTGGGTTTTTACCTGGATCATGAATTAAAATATTCAAAATTTGATTTTCATGTACAATCTTACAGTACACTACATTTTTATTCCATTAAATCACAGTAATACCAAATGTATATGCAGAATAAAAGTAGATTCATTCTGAAATTCACAGTCATAAAAGCTCAAAGATAGTGTACAGAGCTCACAAAGGAAGATGTGTTATATATCTGTTACAGTTTACAATCTTAAAAGAGAGAAAGCTACATGAAGAAAAAGCTGATGGGCAATGACTGAGCTGCGGTAATTGCTTCAACAAGCACCAGTGATGTGACTGTCTTTTTTCTCTGCCAGGTTCAGGCCTTTGAAAAAAGCTGTACATCTTTGAAGAACCTGTAAGAAGCCCATAAGAA